TCAACCAAAAAGATAAAGATGGGAGGAGGCAAATGAATGATGAAGAATGAAGCTGAGTGAGAAGACATGAAGCGAGAAGATGAATTTAGGGCCTACATAGGTCTTTTTATTAAAATATGCATATCGATTTGTACCAATCTATATTAATTTTTTTTGCTATATAATATCAGATATCATGTGACATCTAATATAATATTTACTTATACATATCGGATAAAAATGTGTCGTGTGTCACTAAATTTAATACGTGATATCAATCTTAATATTATTAATAAAAAATAAAATAATTGATTAAATTTAAAAAAATTTAAAAATATAAAGATTAATTTAATCAAAATTTAAAATAGGAATCAATTTAGGACTAAATGACTTATTTATTTATTATAAAAATAAGAAATTGTAAGGCAATATTCACAAAGTTTTTGGTATTGGGTTCCCCGGATGCTACTACTAATTCCGTACCACCAATAAATTATTTGTTGGCACGGCGTCAAACTATAGATGTGCTTATAGAACTTACCCTTAATTAATTATTATGAATATAAATACATACATGTACATATTATATCAAGTCAATCGACACCAAAACTCGATCATGTATGGTAATAGAAATTAAGCTCGTCGATACAAAATAAAAAATTAATCCAATTATAGAAATTAATCATATTTAATTATTATTTTCAGTTTCAATTTAAATTAAAAATTTTAACTGATCATATTAAACAATTAATTATTTATATTAAATATTTATCACATATTATAAGAATCTCGTTTTAGAAAACACTACTAACACAATAAATTACAAACTACTTGTAAAAAAAAAAAAAAGAAGACTAGAAAATTAAAAATCTTATCCAAATATATGCATTTGTGTGTCAATTTAAAAATTTTAAAAACATATAATTCCAATTCCAACTAACAAAGACTTTGCTTTTCTTTTTCTTTCTTAGTTTATGAGTATTCAATTAGCTCCATTCATAGAGTGGGTATTAATTTGTAGCATGATCTAATTTAAAATAGATTAATAACAATTTAAATTTAATTAACACATAGATGGTTGTGTGATAATGAAGTTTTAAAATTATGGTTAAAAAATTAACAAACAGACATTTAAGAATTTAATATTTAAAAAATACATATTATATAATTGCAAACATAAACTTGGTGGAATATAATATTATTTTGACCATCTCCCGTCCAAATATAAAACCAATTTATTCTTAAAAATAAAATAAATAAAACAATTGCATGACCAAAAAACAAAAAAAAAAAAAAAAAAAAAAAGGAAAAAACGAAAAAGTTAAAGTTAAGAGGGGCAAAGTCGGTGATCTGTCCGCACAAGCTATGTCCACGTCAGCAGAAGAATAGTCAGCGAAAGACGTGGCAACCAAATCAGCCAATGGGATTGAAGGGGAGATAATGCTGACATCAGATTGTAGGCGACCGCTGAAAAATCGACTGCCTGTTGCTTTCGATTCGTACCTTCATACGGACCGCGTGACTTTAAAGAAGTTTGACCTTGGGGAATTCTCTGTTTCATTTTTTCCATTTTGATTGGCCATAATTTGTTTCGAAACTATAAATTAAATTGATAAGCCTTAAATTTTTTTATTACAAAGATACAATTCTTTTGTCAACATAATATATATATTTTGTATTAAATAAAAATTAAATATACTTTCATTACATAAAAAATAGTAAATATGATGTTTTTTTTTTCTCTTTAATATAAATAGTAAATTAGTAAATTTATAAACAATAAAATTTGAGTTTGTAATCTTTAAATAAAAAATAAAAAAATTAATTTATAAAATATATATTATTGATTATTTTAACTGAGATAATATTTATTTATGTAAGTAAAGACAATTCAATTTTAAATTTACCAACAATAAAAATTCAATCTCTACCTTGAAAAGAGAGAATCAATTTTTTTTTTTAAAAAAAAATTTAATTTTAAAGTAGTGATGATAATAACTTTTAAAACTTCTCTTTTTTTCTTTTGTATAAGATGGATGATGAGACTTGATTTTAAGTTATTAATAAATGCTATTTTAGAAGCAGTATATTATTCAACTGCATGTTCTTAGCAATAATTTAAACATTTTAAATTATGAATAAATACTAACATAAAAATTAAAATTGTATAAATTAAATGAAAAAAAAATTAAATCATGATCTTAGCTTTATTACTCTTGTTTGGTTTTTTTTTTTTTTTCCTTAAATAAAAATCTCATGGAGATTTTAACTTATAAGAATTAAAAGTAATAAAAATCACATGCATACAGTTGTGTTAAAGTTTTCTTTCTTTTCTCTTTAACTTGCAGCAGATTAAAGATGGAAGAGTGTTCGGTTAACTTGAAAGGTGAAAAGGAGTGTTGTAGATCATGATTGAATTGCAGAAACCTGAGAAAAAGGTATTTTACAAATCTTTGAATAAGTCAATGCTTTCTAAAAAAATCAGAAAAGTTCCGCTTCAACTTCAAACACTTGAAAAATGTTGGCACCATATCCTCCCCACTCTACCCATAACCTGCCTATCATCATTAATATTTCCACTTTCGTTACACATATACATACATATGTATATTATTATTATATACGCACATACAAAGCATCTGTTTAATATTTCGGGTCTGGAAATAATCATTATAGATGGTAATCACTGAGCATATAAAAAGGAAATCAACCGCGTATATGGTTAGTTGGTAATTCTGAATTATTAAATGTAGTGTAATAATATGATTATGTGAAATCACAACATTAGGTAATTAATTTTTACTGTTGATTAAAAGACAGTCAATATTATGTATTATATTCTAACCAATAATAACTCAAGTGATGAAGAATCATGATTTTGTGTAAAACAAATTAACCAATACTAAAACTTATTCACCTTTTTTTTTGGGGGGGGGGGG